TTTTCGAATTTCCTTCTTTTCTTTTTGTATTTTTCATTTTTATGCTGAAAAATTTTTCTTATCTTGTATTCTACTAAAAATATAGAGAGAAAATAATTTAATGTATTTCTCAGAACTGAAATCGGACATAAATTCCGACCACAATCGAAAAACGCAAATTCTAAAAATTTCATATTTCTCTCTAATAATTTAAATAGACTAAAATGTCTAAATAAATTTTCTCACTTCTTTGAACATTTATAACTTAATAACTGGGCTCGAAACTAGGAACGAGCATTATTAATAAAAGTAATTAGTTCAAACTTAGAACTAAAAATAATTACTTTTATTAATTACTGAATGGGATATTACACATGCCTTGGTGCTTGGTGTAAACAGCTGAACATTATCCTCATGCTGTTGTGAATGGAAAACAAAAGAATGCCATTGAATTTTACCTACTCTAGAAGTATTGTAGTGTAGTGTTTTGTGAGAGCATGAACATTTCAATGCAATAGTCATCCTCATCTAACAGGCCTTCAATTTCATCCATATAGATCTTCACAATCGAGTACGTTGGTCCGTTGGTTCGGTAGAACCTCACATAACAGACAATATGGTGGTTCTTAATTTTGCCACCAATTCTTTTCAGCAGCCTTGAGCCCTGCAACAACATAACATATTGTTTTGATTTAAATAGTATTAGAAATTATAGAGTAATCAAAAGATTTGTCCTTTTTTTTTCTTTTTTTTTTCTTTTTTTTTTTTTTTTTTTTTTTTTTTGGTTAAATATGAAATTGGGTTGGGCTTTTTCGTAAAGAATTTGTGATGATGGTNCAGTTAGTATAATAAATGCAGCTTGTAAGTAATATTAGGGCAATACCTGATTCTCAGCATCTTTTAATTCAACCCCAGTACGTCCAACAAGCTGTTCAGCATCTTCCCCATACACGACTGCCGCAATTGTCTCCGTATCGTATTCAATGTAGATTGGAATTCTTGCCCGGTTGTATAGTTTAAGTGCTAGCATTTGTAGTTTGTATAATATGTATTTTCTATTGCTGCACAATAGACACTAAATGGATCACCTTGCCGCAATTTGGCTACGTTGATTGGACGAACTACCCCTAATATCGGAACCTACTTGTAGGTCAAACTTTTTGTCATAGTTGTTGCAAGAACTGAATCAAAGCGATTGGCTGGCTAAACCCAAAGTGATGCGCCCTTGAATCCATGTAGCCTTCACCTATTGTAAAGAACAATTTATATTTTCATTATGCGCTGCCAATGCAACCTGTAGCGATGTTGGTAGTGCAAGCACTTCGGCATGCCCATCTAGCCCAGTGAAGAAGCCGCGCACCTAAGCCTACCAATCGCGCCTTCGTCAGATTGTATATACTTTTGCTTATGCCGCGCTTTAGTTGCTATTGATCTATATTTCGTGCGCGCCTATTATCTATCGCTATTGCATTGCGTTTCCGACTACTTTTGTGGACATTCTACCTTGCCTTGTACAACTTAGACTACCGTGGTGTTGAAGTTGTAGTAGAATGTCAAAGGCTTTCTTAGCCATTACTATAGTACATAGATGGCGTTTTGTGATGTACTGTGCTTCCCGAAGCTTTGCTAATGGAATGTTGTTGGTTTCTTTTGCTCATTGTGAGTAGTAATGTTATGCAAATACATAAACTCTATTACTTGTACACATTAAAAAAAAAACTAATAAATACCACTCTTTATATGTGCAAATTTATTTAAATACACTTTATAATATGTTAGCCTCAATACTCAAACTGTGTGTTTATAATCACATCTTTTAATTTTGAGAACGTTACTACTTAAAATAAAATTAGTAATAATTTCAAGAGTATTACGTTAAACAAATGAAGTAGCAGTGCATATGAAATCGTCACAACNTTATTACGTTAAACCAATGAAGTTGCATTACATATGAAATCATCGCAATTATAGATAGAAAAATAACTAACTAAAAAATATGATAACATTATCATAATAAACTACTGATGATTGTTACATTTTCTTGTACACGATCTCCGAATTTATACCATTAATGAAAAGAAACATAGCATTGATATTTACAAAATTGACAACTCAGGCCCCTGAAAAACAGGCCCAATCAGTGCGGCAAAAACAAGAGAGGAATATACGAAGGTCCAGTTACTATTTAATTAAAACTTACACTAAAGCCCAATAGAACAATTAACCTCATGAAAACACGTTCATTGCACCTCGCACAGCAACGAGAAAAACTGCTCCCTCATTTGCACAAAACATTCCATAAATTGCCCGAAATTCAGAGGAAGCCACCGGCGAGCACAGCCGAAAAAGCTTATGTAACATTATTACATGGATAAAGGCCTTCATTTTTCTATATTTTCACAGTTTTCTTTAAGCGGATCTGCTCCCGTACTCACGGTGGGCAGGAAATAAATATGCACACCGCTCATGTGGCATGTACACATTGGGCATATTAATTTTTTCCCACTGCTTATGCCCAATGTGTACATGCCACATAAGCGGTGGACATATTAATTCTCTGCCCACCGTGGGTAGGGAAGCAAATCCCTTTCTTTAAGACATTATTATATGTAGCCCAAATAGCCATTTTATAGTTACAAAGTGTATTAATAAGTGGTTATTTATATTTTGGTTTTTAACGCGGTTTCTTCAATATTATGTTAAAGCAAAAATAAGATAATAAAGATAATTAACGTTTTTCTTAATTAATAAAAAACTTATTAAATCTACTTCAACTTGATTTCTTATGGATTGATGTCAAATTATTTGAAGGTAAATTTATATTGCCATAAAATGTGGATAACTATATTTTTGAATTTTCAGAATTATTAAATATAATTATAAACTGGACTAGGGTCAGTTGTGCGTGCACAGCCGAGACCAAACTAGTATTACATAGATAAAAAAATAATTATACATAAATGGGTGTATTTGTTGTGGTATGTGTGGTAGGTAGTGTTAGATGAGTTCATGTGGAGTGTGGTAGGTGAAGTGAAATGAATGTGAAAAACAAATAAATTTTATATTATATAGATAAATAAATAATTATTTTAAAAAGAATAAATTAGTTTATTTATACAACTATTAGAGAACAATTTTGAGAATGTATTCTTCATTTTGTGCTGAGAAAAATCAACATTTAATTAGTATTTTATTAAAAATTAATTGCTAAATTCTTATTACTATAAAATTCATTGAAATTGTATTAATTTTTTATAGTGTACCAATGTCACACCCCACATTAGGTCGAACGAGGGCTCGACACCAAACACTAAATGACGATTGCACATAAAATATAGATTAATGTGGAAGAAATGAAAAGAAAATTTAAAATATTTAAAACTAAAAACAAATTTAGCCAAATGAAACTAAGTCTGAAAATTCAAAATTCAGGCTCCCAGTGCTTATTTCTAGACCACTGCTGAATTGTGTCTCCCAGTGTTTGTGCCCATGTGGGTTGTATCAGGCTCTGTGTACTCTTGTTTGTTGTTAACGGAGTTTTCTATTGTTGGAAAAAAAATCACATTATTTTTTACTTTTTCTTTTTTATTTTTTGAATATTTATATTGCAAAACTGACAGTGAAATTTTTTAGGTACAAATCAAGCACTAGGTTGCAGTGAAATAGCTAAGAGCGAAAAGAAAATTAGTCACACTTAGTATTATAACTTCTCACTTTAGCAAGAGTGTTCTCGTCTCACTCGATCTGGATGTCAACTTCTTTTCTTTGGATCACTCCTCATTTGGGGTGGAGAGGGGGAATTAAAATATAAATACAGGTGGAATGAGATGAAAAATCTCAGTGAGCGTGATATATTTTATTAAAAATTAATTGCTAAATTCTTATTACTATAAGATTAATTGAAATTGTGTTAGTTTTTTATAGTGTATCAATGTCACGCCCCCCACACATGACGATTGCATATAAAATATAGATTAATGTGGAAGAAACGAATAGAAAATTTTATATATTTATAATTAAAAATCAAATTTAGCCAGATGAAACTAAGTCTGAAAATTCAAAATTCAAATCGTATGATTTTTTACTTTTATTTTTTCTTTCTTTTGAATATTTATATTGCAAAAGCTGACAGTGAAATTTTTTAGGTACAAATCAAGAATTAGGTTGCAGTAGAAATAGCTAAGAGCGAAAAAAAATTAGTCACACTTATTATTATAACTTCTCACTTCAGCAAGAGTGTTCTCGTCGCACTCGATCGGGATGTCAGCTCTTTTCTTTGGATCGCTCCTAATTTAGGGTGTTGGGGGGAGGGGGGGAGGTGGGGATTAAAATATAAAAACAGGTGGAAAGAGACGAAAAATCTCAGTGAGCGGGTGATAATGTGCAAGGTGTGGCTTGAGTTTAATAAAAATGTCGATTCACGCTTAAAGAAGTTTGTATTTATCACATTGTTATAAATGTATAAATCCTTAGATAAATATCATATACTGAAAACACTGATAAGTAATCGTATGATAATGAAGCAGTAATTTCAATCCCCTTCGATTGATGATAAATCAAATATCAATACTAACACAAGCAGAATAGTCTTGCTTCAGAACAAATTGATTTGATTTGGTTCCTAGGCTCTTCCTTATGACTCCCAACAGTGTAGGCATTAGCTTCAGTATGAACTGAAGCTCCAATAGTGAGTCGTCGTTCCACTAGTGAACTAAAGCTCTAATATGGACCGCTAAGTTCCAAGCCAACCTTATAATTGATCTGGGCTCGACATCTCCTCAGTTGTGGGATTCTACCCAAAGAATGTCATAATCGCGATTATATCCCAACTCTATGACCAGTCACCTTGGAACACTCTGTCCTCGGTTGTGGGAATAGGCAACAACGGTAGCCTCGTTAAGAATCGCAGCCACGCTGCTCGATTCAGGACTTAGTCTAATCATCCCAAGCAGTCGCACTCGCAACACAATTGATTATGCACCAATGAAATTGGTTTCAAGCAGTTGTTAGTTGACGTGACAATACATCAAACATGATACATTGTCACTTGGTGCGCAAGTACAATCCGCCAAGTTATTTAATGATGTTTTCAATCAAGTAAGCGCAGTTGCACATAATTTCATGCACAAACAATGAAACAACTTGTCAATAGATGCCTATACAATAGTACAGAGTTCGGTATGTGGATGCAATGATAAAAATATAGATTTTAATGGAGGGACAAGTAAGAATACATGTTGCTCAGGGTTCTCGAATAATTGTCGGTGATATAGTCATATAAAGATAACCCGGTCTAAGAGGCTTCCCACTCGACCGGTGAGCCATTTGAACAACTCGTATATCGAGGTAACTCGTCGACATGCTCAAGTCGACTTCCTTGAAGTCGACTCTGCTGGAAACAATCAAGGGACAGAAATCAGTCAGTCGACTCCTGTAAGTCGACCTCTAACTATCGACTTTTGCTAGTCGACCTCATACTAGAAGGACATCAAGAATGCAACTCCCAACCATCCGGATACTCTAAGTCGACTCTCGCTAGTCGACTTTCTCATGACGACTCTCTAAGAGACGACCACCGCAAGGAGTTAAACCAGGTGTAGCCTCTGGAAACCGCACATATTTGTAGGTCGACCTCCTCGTGCTCGAGGTCGACTCTGTACATCTCGAAGATCAAAGTGGTGAAGACGATTCACCACACTTGCAACATATCCAAAGCTCCACACATTATCAAGGATAAGAAGGAATCTTGCGATGACTCAGCAATAGGGGAAGACGGATCGACCGGGGCATTTTGGACCTTCTAGGTCCACCGACTGGGACATTCTGGGTACTCCAGGTAAACATTCACTCCTATATAAAGGAGGTGAGGTAACCCTAAAACCCTAACTCTCATTCACTCCCACTCTCCCCATAGCTGCTGCGCAGCCTTCTTCATCACTCTCATACTGACTTGAGCGTCGGAGGCTCTACGCCGGAAACACCTCCGGCGTTGAGTTTTTGCAGGTATTCTTGCGGTCTAGCAACGGTTTAAAGACAGTTCAAGCAGATCTGAGCTCACAACCACCGGTTTACTCCAGATCCAGAAGTAGACCCATCATTTGGCGTCGTCTGTGGGGAGTTCTTAAAGGAAGGAAGAGCTTCACACCCAGCTCCGATCTGTTTGCCAATGGCGGAGAAGGAGAGCTTGCAGAGGAACGTGAGTGAGGAATTCAGAGGGACGTGGATGGACAAGAGG